CTCTCTCTCTCTCCCCCTGAGCATCTAACATGCGCTATTGAGCTCTACTTGTAACAAAAGATAGGAGAATGACTTTCAAAATTCCTATCGGATTGAGCTTGACATCTCTAAAATTAATAAATGGTGCTATATCCACCCAACTGAGCTCGGCACCTCTTCACTCGTTAAAAGTAGGAACTATCAAGAACAGTAACCGTTGTTATGAAAGCTCTAAGACTTACAAAGTAGGTACTCTAAGTTCTTTGGCATTTTACAATATAAACACATAATAACAACAGTCTTCTCTTATTGTTTTATGCAATGCTCAAACTGAAGTCGAGCCCTCGATATCTGTTCTCCTATGTGCTAAATCTATGTGAGTGCAAACTTACCAAATAAACTTTAGAATTGATTAGATAATCTATACAGATCTTGTAGCACTCGAAATTATCAGTTAGGGTGAATAATCACCAGATTACAGACAAACTAGACAGAGATACAAATACTTCTGCTATTCGGTCAAAATTCAGCTGCGATATAAAGTGAAGTGCAACAGAAGATTGAATTTAGCAGTATCAATCAACCGCCCCTTAGGAAAACATTAGTTAAAAGGATAATTTGACTAAATCGCCCTTATTTAATCTTAGATCTCAATTTATTGCTATTCTTGCTTTCACTATATCAGTCTCTCACCACATTTATTAGAGTGAGGGTAAAGGTGGAAACAATTAATTAGTTCTTTCTTGATTTTCTAAAATGACAAGTATTTTAGAACAACTAGTTTTAGTAAACATGACAACAAAATGGAACTGGAGGAATATATGGAATCTGCAAAATAACTATAAAGAGAGGGATGCAGAAAGATGAAACTAATTTGGATATTTTCAAAAAGCAATTATCAGGTAATGGATCAGTTTCCTCCATATAATTAAAGAATGATTTTTTCAATAGTAACCAAACAAGGAGTCTAATTATAAACTTGATGTTAATCAGAACACTGATTATATCAGGGTATAAAATTTAATTCAAACAGACCCTTTAGACTACTGAGAACACATACTCTTTTTTTTCCTTTTACAAACTACTGAGAATAAAACAGAAACATATAAAAAAGAAGAAATCTTGTTTATATACCATTTGGCTAGCCATCTTCAGGAAAGCTTTACCAAGAGGCACAATGCAGAACCTAGAAAAGGACCGATTTCATATTCAGCGACAAAATACAAAACACTTTTATTCAAGAAAAATAAAAATAAAACTCACATTCCTCTTCCACCAGCTAAGGCGTCTTCTGCTGGGTCTTTCCACTCATCAAACCTACCAACAAGCAATAACCCAAATGAAGATTTTCATTTCTTATGCATATAAAATATCCGAATAACCCAAAAAGAAAGAAAAAGAGAATAAACTTACACCCAACCATAGCGCCGGTCAAATAGGAGGCGTTTGCAGGGGCGATTTTGGGCGTTTGAGTTTGAAGTTTCCATTTTTAAGCTCGATTCCATAGTCGCTATATGGTTTGCTAAGAGCTAAAGGCTGTTACTGTTTCATGAGTTTTTGAGATGATTATAACTACGAATAAATTGTTCAACGACCCCCTTAACTTAGCTTTTTAAAATACGGCCCATGAATGTTTCTGTTATTTCAGTTAAGCCCATTGAACTTGACTTCGTAACTTAAGTCTTACTCGACGGTGACTTCGTAGCCCTACAGCAGGATCCAAAATATAAAAAATTATTTGTGGTTTGAAATCAAATTAATGAAACGTGATTTTAAAAAAGAATGTTAACTTTCCATCTTTCTTTAATTGTCTTTTCTTTGTTGGTCAGTAATTGTTTTTTTAATTTTTGATAAACAATCGAGAGGGACTAAGTGAGCAATAGAGGTAGATTTAGAACATATTTCAAATTCAACTGAATATAATATTGAAAATTGGGTATGGATATTAGATTGCTCCATGAGGGTTGACCCGACTCATTAAAGATAAGGATGGAGTTAACTTCCTCAAAGAAGTTATTCATTAAAAAGGTTTATCACGTGGTTAAAAATAAAGAGGGGCAATAAGTTTTAAAGAGGACGCGAAGAACTATTATTGGTTCTTTACATGATTTAAAACAAGAAAATGCACCCCTCTTTCTTATCTATCAATACATCTTCCTTTTTCTTAACAAAGACAATTTTTTTTCGAGTTTTCTTCGCTAAATATATAGAAAGAAAAGCATTTAGTTCGTGAAACTAAACTTTATTTCCAAGAAATTTAAAGTTGGACTTAGGAGCAATTTGTTGGATTGTGATTTCTACTCCAGGTACACGATTCTTGTTTCTGTTCCTTGATTTAATATTCGTTGGTATCAAAGCATGACAAATTGCTCTAATACCAATATTTATTCTGAAATCGAAACTAAAACAGAAAATCAGACAAGAATGAAAGATATTATGCTATAGTGTAACCTCTGTATGTGTCACGACCCAAAACCACCAATCGATTGTGATGGCGCCTAATTCACTTGCTAGGTAAGCGAACATAACAAAAAAGAAATATAAAAACTGAATTAACAAAAATAGTATAAAAGTCTAAGGCCAATTAACATAAATAACAGCGTTGATATATAACAGATCCTCCGAAACTGGTAAATACAGAGTCATGAGCTCTAAAATAGAAAATACAAGTCTGAATATAATAATAATAATAATAATATTGACTGAATGAAATAGCAGTACTAAAGGGAAAAGAGACGGCAAGCCTGCGGTCGAAATGCAGCTCTACCTCGTTTCTCCAAGATGACTCGACAGCAAACCTTAGCTACTGGTGGCTCGGTCCAACATCTGGATTTGCACAATTAAGTGCAGAGTGTAGTATGAGTACAACTGACCCCATGTACTCAGCAAGTGTCATAACTAACCTCGACGAGGTAATAGAAGAAAGGATTATAAATGATACTCGCTAATCACCTGTACAATTCATAATTCCAACAAGTACAAAATAATTATATGATCAAGTCATGAATCACATATAGAAACCGCCTTGGTGCACACAATAACTTAACGTACTGTGCTCAGTCAACAATCCAGCATATAAAGAAGATATGCAAACAAATCGGGTAAACAACCAAGGAAATTGCAAGTAAAGATGAAATGCAATAACCAAATCAAATACTGGCCAGTTTTTCCTCAGAATTTCCATAACCGTACCAAACCACTAATCAGTTTCCTCGAACTGCGTATACACCATCAAGAAGGAGCATGAGAAGGTGACCATAGGGGGATGGATCCATATTCACACGTTGCACAAATAACTCACGTGCTACACGGACAACTCACGTGCTAATAATATCAACTGCACAGACAACTCACGTGCCAATAATATCAATATATCGGATCCTCACAGACAACTCACGTGATGTACGAACAAATCACGTGCCAATAACACAATCTGCCCGGCGTAGTCACAGGCTCAATATCACTATCACAATCCGCCTGGCGTGGTCACATGCTCAATATCACAATCCCTCCAGTATGATCACATGCTACCAGTCCAATCCATAACACACAGAAAGCAGATATATAAAAATACATGTACATGATTAATGAACATTAATTTTCATACTCCTGGACTAGTATAAGTGACATGCTAAAGTGTATACATGTACAAAGTATGCTATCACAGCTCAATCAGAAAAATACATCACGAAAATAGCAATTATCATGTTCAATCAGGAAATTAACCTCTATGTTACCTCAAACATGGCTCAAATAGCTCACAATAGGGGTACACATATAAGAAACATCACAACATTAAGCTTGGCAACCAATTCAAGGCATATCATAGCCTAAACACTACCCCGAGCATGAAAAATACCCCGTGCATGCACATGGTCTCGACCCCATACATGTGCGCCACCCATAGTACGTAGCTATCACAAATAACTCAGGCAACTAGTACCTCAACCTGGTTTAGGTAAGATATTTACCTCAAGCAAGCCCAAATCAATACTCTAGGGTGCCCTTCCCGTATGAATAAACCTCTGGACGGCTCAAATCTAGCCAAAATAATTTAATAATATCAATAGAAGCCATAGAAAATAACCCCAAACAATAAAGCTAATATATTTATTAAAAATTTAAAAGTCAACCCAAAAAGTCAATTCCGGGCCTTGCACTCCGGAACCCGTTAAAACTCACAAATTCCGAACACATATTCTACTATGAGTCCAAATATATGTGTTAAATCAACTCTCAATTCATTAAATCTCACTCAACAAAATCATAGTCCACCCCCCTCCCAAATCCCACCTTTAATTCATAGAATTTAGGTATAATAATATATGGTTAATCAATATCTAACACCAAAATTAAGTAAGAGTCACTTACCCCTTCAATTGTGATGAAAAGCTCTCCAAAAATCGCCACCAATCGAGCCCCACAACTCTAAAAATAAAAAAAATGATCAAACCCTCGATATTAATATTTGTCCAGTTGAACTGTATCTACGATCACTTGACCACATCTACGGCTCTGATTCTGCAGAAAGAAGCCCGCATCTGCGATATAACTCTATTTCCCTTCCGCTTCTGCGGTCAACACTTCGCACTCGCGCTAAGATGTGACCTTGCACCTGCGCTCAGCCTTCCGCATTTGCGGTCTACCCAAGTCTCTAGTCTTGTTCGCTTATGTGACCCCCTGCCTGCACCTGCAGACTCGCATCTGTGCCCAATACCTCGCAGGTGCGAAAACACCAGAAATCAGAACTCTCAATAAGACCAACTCAAACCAAAATGATCTGAAACACACTCGAGGCCCCTGGGACTCTTATACAAACACACCAATCAGTTCCAAAACATAACAAGGACCTACTCGAGGTCTTAAATCACCTAAAACAACATCAAAACTACGTATTGTGCCTCAATTCAAACTTAAGAAATTAATCCAAATTTCCAAATTCAAGATTTACGCCGACCACGCCTAAACAACTGGGAATGACCTCAAATTTTGCAGGTAAATCCCAAATGACACGATGGACCCATTCCAACTTCCGGAACCAAAATCAGAACCCAATATCAACAAGGTCAACTCTCGGTAAATCCTATCACCCTTCAAAGCCTTCAACTTTCCAACTTTCGCCAATTCAAAGTCAAAATGCTCATCCAACAGCATCGTTCTGAAATCCAAAACATGCGATGGATCCCCATAATACTTCCGGAGCATGGAAACATGAAACACTGGATGAACCCCCGATAGACTAGGTGGCAAGGCCAGTCTGTAGGCCACCTCTCCAACTCTCTCAAGCACCTCAAAAGGACCAATATATCTAGGGCTCAACTTGCCCTTCTTCCCGAACCTCATCACACCTTTCATGGGCAAAAGTCTGAGTAGAACCTTCTCACCCAACATATATGCAACATCACAAGCCTTCCTGTCAGCATAACTCTTCTGCCTGGACGGCACTGTACGAAGTCGCTCCTGCATCAACTTCACTTTCTTCAAAGCATCACAGACCAAATCTATTCCCAGCAACCTAGCCTCCCCAGGCTCAAACCAAACAACTGGAGAACGACATCGCCTCCCATATAAAGTATCATAAGGATCCATCTGGATACTCGACTGATAGTTTTTGTTGTAGGCAAACTCTGCTAATGGAAGAAATTGATCCCAAGATCCTCCAAAATCAATGACACAGGCACGTAACATGTCCTCCAGAATCTAAATAGTGCACTTGGACTGTCCATCCGTCTGGGATGAAATGCCATATTCAGCTTGACTTGTGTGCCCAACTTACGTTGCACTGCTCTCCAAAAATGCAATTTAAATTATGTACATCGATCCGAGATAATAGACATGGGTACACATGAAGGCGAACCATCTCCCGAATAAAAATCCGAGCCAGCTTCTCTGAAGAGTAGGTAGTCATGACTGGAATGAAGTGTGAAGACTTGGTCAGTCTGTCCACAATGACCCACACTCATCGAATCTCCTCAAGGTGCGTGGAAGCCCAACTACAAAATCCATAGTGATACACTCCCACTTCCACTCCGGAATATCAAGCCTCTGAAGTAAATCACCCGGTCTCTGATGCTCGTCCTTCACATGCTGACAGTTCAAACACCGAACAACATACTCAACAATATCCTTCTTGATCCTCCACCACCAATAGTGCTGCCTCAAATCATGGTACAACTTTGATGTCCTCGGATGAAGAGAATATCGCAAACTATGGGCCTCCTCAAGAATCAACTCTCGCAACCCATCCACCTTTGGAATACAAATCCGACCTTTTAGCCTCAATAATCTATCATCACCAATAGTAACCTCTTTGACATCACTGTGCTGCACCGTTTCCCTTAGAATATACAAGTAGGGATCATCATACTAACGCGCCTTGATGTGCTCAAACAAGGACGACTGTGATACAACACAAGTAAGGATTGTACTGGACTCCGAAATATCCAACCTCATGAACCGATTGGCCAAAGCCTGAACATCCAATACTAACAGCCTCTCCCTAACTAGAACATAAACAAGACTCCCTATGCTCTCAGCCTTCCTATTCAAAGCATCAACCACCACATTGGCCTTC